GGGGGGGGGGGTGAGTAAAACTGTATTATTGCAGATGACAGGATACCCTAAAGATTCCACCAAAAACTATTAGAACTAAAAAGAATTCAATAAAGTAGCAGGATACAAAAGTAACATTTAGAAATGCGTTATCTTTATACACCAATTATGAGCTATAAGAAAGAGTAATTAAGAAAACAACTCCATTTACAATTACATCCAAAAAAAAAAAAAAAACCCTAGGAATAAATTTAACCAAGGTCGTAAGACCTGTATTTGGAAAACTATAAGACATTCAAGACAGACACTGAAAAATACACAACTGGAAGAATATAGCATGCTCATGAATAGGAAGAATTGACATCACTAAAATGTCCACAGTACCCAAAGCAATCTACAGATTCAATGCAATCCCTATCAAAATTCTAACGGCATTTTCACAGACCTAGAACAAATAATCGTAAAATTTATATGGAATCACAAAAGACCCCAAATAGCCAAAGCAATCTTGAGAAAGAACAAGTTGGAGGTAATCCACTACCTGATATCAAAGTGTACTGCAAGGCTAAAGTAATCAAAATAGCATGGTATTGGCATAAAAATAGATACACAGATCCTATGAACAGACTAGGGAACCCAGAAATAAACCCATTCCTATATGGTCAATTAACCTATGACAAATGAGGCAAGAACGTACAATGGGGTAAAGGCAATCTCTTCAATAAATGGTGTTGAAAAAACTGGATACATGAAAAAAAAATGAAATTAGACCACTTTCTTACACCATGTACAAAAATAAACGGAAAATAGAGACCTAAATGTAAGACCTAAAAATCATAAAACTCCTACAAGAAAACATAGGTAATAAACTCTTTGACATCAGCCTTAGCAGTATTTTTCAGGCTATGTCCCCTATGGCAAAGACAACAAAAGCAAAAATAAACAACTGAAACTACATGAAACTAAAGAATTTTTGCACTGCAAAGAAAACCATCAACAAAACAAAAACCCAACCTACTGAATGGAGAACATATTTGCCTCTGATATATCCAATAAGGAATTAATATCCAAAATATATTTAAAAACCCATACAGCTCAACATCAAAAGAACAATCTGATTTAAAAATGGACAGAGGCCATGAATAGACATTTCCCTAAAGAGGGCATACAGATTTCCAACAGACCCATGAAAAGGTGCTCAACATTATTAATCAAGGAAATACAAATTAAAACCATAATGTGAAACCACCTCACACCTGTCAGAATGGCATCGTCAATAAATCAACAAATAAGTGTTGAGGAGATGTGCAGAAAAGGGAACCCTCGAACAGTGGTGGTGGGATTATAAATTGGTGCCGCCACTATGGAAGACAGTAGGAAAGCTCCTCAAAAAATTAAAAACAGAACTACCTATGACCCAGCAATTCCACTTCTGGATATTTATTTGAATAAATCTAAAACACTAATTCAAAAACATATATGCACCCCTATGTTCACTGCATTATTTACAATAGACAAAATGTGGAAGCAACCTAGGTGTCCACTGATAGATGACTGGATAAAGAAGATGGGGTATGTATATACAACGAATATTACTCAACCATATAAAAAAATATTGGCATTTGTGACATGAATGGATCTAGAGGGTATTAAGAGAGTGTGCCACATTCCCGAAACTTACATGCAGCCAACACTGGCCTAGACATTGAGACCCCTGGGAACTGGAACCAAACTTTATAGGGTGATATTAATCTAAATGAAATAAGAAGGACAAAGACAAATAGCATATTATTTCACTTCTCTGTGGAATCTAAAAAACAAAATAAACAAACAAAACAGAAATGAACTCATAGATAGAACAAATTGATGGTCGCCAGATGGGAGGGCAGTTGGGGTAATGGATATATAATGTCAAAAGGATTAAGAAGTAAAAAATGCCAGTTATAAAAAGTCATAGAGATGTAAAGTACAGCATAGAGAGTACAATCAATAATATTGTAATAACTATGTGTAGTTCAAGATAGGTGACTGGAGTGATTACTTCATAAGTACATAAATGCCTAATCAATAAGTTGTATACCTGAAACTAATATAATACTCTATGTCAACTGTAAAAAATATTTTTAAAAAAAAAAGACCCTCCACCAACAAAAGGACTATAACTTGAAGGCTCAAATGATGGTTTGTATTTTTTAGCAATAAAGTACTTTTAATTGAGGTATGTACACTGTTTTTTAGATATAATGCTACTGCACACTTAAGAGACTACAGTATAGCACAAATATAACTTTTACACACACTGGTAAACCAAAAAACTTCTGTGGTTCACTTTATTGTAGTGGCCTGGAACGAAACCCGCAAAGTCTCCAAAGTATGTCTGTAAAAAACAAACAAACAAAAAAAACACACACGCATTACACACACACA